AGATAGAGACAGAGACCCACACTGGAGCACTGGACTGAGCTCCCAAGGTCCCAATGAGAAGCAGATGGAGGGAGAACACGAGCAAGGATGTCAGGACCACGGGGGGTGCACCCACCCACTGAGACAGTGGGGCTGATCTATTGGGAGCTCACCAAAGCCAGCTGGACTGTGACGGGAACAGCATGGGATAAAACCGGACTCTCTGATCATGGCGAACAATGAGGACTGATGAGAAGCCAAGGTCAATGGCAAGGGGTTTTGATCCTACTTCATGTTCTGGCTTGGTGGGAGCCTAGCCAGTTTGGACGTTCACCTTCCTAGACATGGACGGAGGGGGGAGGACCTTGGACTTTCCACAGGGCAGGGAACCATGACTGCTCTTTGGATAGGAGAGGGAGGGGGAGAGGAGTGGGGGGAGGGGGAGAAGAGTGGGGGGAGGGGGAGGGAAATGGGAGGCTGGGAGGAGGCAGAATCTTTTTTTTTCTTATTCTCAATAAAATAATAAAATGGAAAAATAAAAAAGACTCATTACCTTGAGCACACTCAATCAGTGCCATTAAAAAGCACAGTAAAATTCTCTAGTGTCCTGTCAAATTACTGAATGGTAACTTAAAAAATCTGGAGTTTTGTTTTTGTTTTAATCAATACGATAGACACCATTATTTTTCTTCTTGAAGTCTTAACTCCTTCACTTTCTTGTATGTGCCTTTTAGTAAATAGAATGATACCTGTGCTTAATATAAATATGAATGGTGGTGTGATCAAGATGTGAGATCCACAGCCAGGATTCTTAAATCCAAATCAAAGCCCTACTAATCACTATGCTATGGAACTTCAGCAGGTCACTCAACTTATTTGTGTACTAGTTTCCTCACATATAGATGATGAAAATAATTGTGCTATTATGTTGGGTTCCTTATTAGGGGTTTTGAAATAGATCCTTGTCAGAGAAGGGTATTAACGACATGAATATATTATGTGTCAGCTGCTATTTTTCATTGTATAAGAATTAAGGTAAAATGTTACGGTTTCAGTAATGCTATCACATATTTAATATAGCAGACCCTTGGAACTATTTGTAAGTGGAACATCTTTAGGATATATGTATATCAATATCCGAGGAACAACCTCATAGATGAAGTAGGTAGTGACATGGGTCATACCAATGCTGAAGCCTGAAGAATAATGGGCAACAGTTATCTTTTCTTGTGTGTAACATGAAAGCCACCCTCTTCCTCCATGTCATTTTTTATTTTTTTATATGCTTGAAAATATTTTATAGAATTTTTCTACACCTGGACCTGCATGTTTCTATATTGGTACTTGTATCATTTATGAACAGAAGCTAGAGTAGATAGAAATAAATTTCAGCAGACTTACCTTGGACGATCACTTCTCCATGGTCCTAATATTACTAGATGATGTAGAAAAGAAAATCTTGAATCACAAGATTGTGTATATTTTCTTTTCCTATGACTTCTATTGCAGAAGACTCTATAGTCTCAGTATTTGGCTAAGGTGTGCTTAAATGTTAAGTTGTTCCTATATTCCTGATGAAAGGTTTGGGTTGACAAGGCAGCTTTGCTGAATATAAATAGAGTCTCACAAATGTCTGGGCCTTTTATTGGGAAATATGGGAACTCAGGTCTATTCCAACATAGTTTATGTTCCATAAAATGTCCCCAGAATTTTTTAATGTGAAAGACTGAATAGAGAGCTATAGGAAGCTTAACCATCCATGTTTTAATTGGCTAAATTCAGCCACTTAGCTAATCCCAGAATTGGGGCCCACAACATATCAGGAAAATATCATGAGATAGGGAGACTATTAATAAGAAATATTGATACCACTTGTCTAGCACACTTTCATAAACTGGTGACAACTATATTCTTAAATATATACTCTAGTAATTAAAAACAAGGTCCAAAGAAATATGTGTAACCAAAATTGATAGCAACATTTGTTGTGGAATATTAGTTTAAAATGTCCTACTTTTATCTATGCTTTGAACTATTTAATGATGCAAAGATGTGTTGCATTCTTTTATGTTACATTTGTTTTACTTTGTAAGGCTGTGTTACTTTGCCTGCCTAAAGCACCTGATTGATCTAATAAAGAGCTAAATGGCCAAAAGCTAGCCAGGAAAAAGGATAGGTGGGTCTGGTATCCAGAGACAATAAATAGAAAGAGAAATCTAGGCTTGGGAAGAAGAGAGGAGGAGGAGTGAGAAAAGAAGGAGAGGGGTATGCCAGGGGCCAGTCGTACATCCACACAGCCAGCCAAGAAGTAAGAAAGAAATGGAGATTTATAGAATAAAGAAAGGTAAAAATCCCAGAAGCAAAATGCAGTTAAAGAGACACGGGCAATTTAACTTAGAAAAGCTGACTGGAAACAAGTCAGTCTAAGGCTAGGTAAGAATAAGTCTCCATGTACTAATTTGGGAGCTGGGTGGTGGGTAACCAATAGAAAACAAACAAACAAAAAACTACTAAAAACATTATAGACTATAGCCAAATTATTCACCAGTAGGTGAAGAACAAGCAATTTTTTTGGATAGCATATTCATTTAATAAAACAACAGCATAAGGTTCTTCACTATGAACTGCAACCTTCCCGGCCATGGGCTTTTGGCTGAATTTACAGTACCAAACACAAGTTCCTTCCTGTGGATCAGGCCTCAGATCTATTCAGAGAATAGGTTTGTTACCCTCTGTTTCGTTTCTTAAGTATTACCAAATTGTAACCAGAGAACACTATGGTCTTAGGAAAATATAAATTTTCTGGCACAGGTTACAATATGGACCAACACTAATAAAAAGAAAGAAGCTGAAAGCAAAAAGAAGAAATATTGTGTGACTTTCATTGTATGAGACAAAATAATAGACAGAGAAATCTAAATGGAGTTCTGAGTCTGGGGTGGGAGGAAGGGAGCTTCTAGCCCATGGCTACAGAGGTTGTGTCATATGATGAAACATTCTGGACACATAGGTTTGTTACAGCCATTTGGAATATACTGAACACCACTGAATTATAGACAAAAACATGGTAAACATGTAAACACTAAGCTATTTAAATAAAATTAGGATGGGGCTATTTGTGATCCTTCAACTCTACCAATGATTAGTGTTTAAAAGTGCACCCATGAGTTCCCGAGAAGAGGATAAGTCTAGCTAAGAAGTAGGAACAATATTTTATGCCGTAAGTGTTTGAGGGAATAATAGTTTAAACAATATCTTTCTTAAGATTACGTTGGTTCTTCATAATTTTCTTCAGTATTGATGGCGATAAAACTGATAAAATAAAACTTGATGGTTGAATTTTATTTTTCTTAATAAAACTTTTATATGTATGGGTGTCTTGTCTGAACATATGCTTGTCTGTTGCGGGAGGTCCTTCCGCCCCTCCAACCAATAGCTGCTGTGGTACCAGCCCATTGGGGCGTGGTCTCTCTCCCTTTAAAAAAGCGGCTATTTCCTCTGCTCGCTCTCTTCACTTCCTGCTCCGCCGGAGACTAGACTCCCTTCCTGGTTGTGCAGATGGCTGTTGTCTGAGATGGTGATCTGTAAGTTTTCCCCTTTAAATAAATAACACCCTATTAATCATAACACCAAACTGGTGTGGCCTTGTTCATGACTTATGCCTTCATCTGGCGCCCGAACGTTTGGCTTTTAGGACCTCTCCATTCCCCGCTCGAGTTTGGCTTGGCGCGAGCCCTTCCTTCCTTAGCCGCAGCCTGTGCCTTGCGGGGGCCTTGTGGCCTGTGCATTGTGGCGGCCGTGTGGCCCGTGCCTTGTGGCGGCCTTGTAGCCGGTGCCTTGTGCGTAGAGTCAGCAGTTTAATATAAATTATCACACACTGGCTTTTCTTGCTGCAGTTCTTTATATTTTTTTAGACACCTCAGATTGACTTCAAGTCCCCACGCACCCTATCATCTGCTTCCCCACTTGGATTGAAACTCCACAGGCCCGCGTAGTCTCTGCCTGCGTGGTTTACTCTTTTCTGAGTCGTTTTTAAATCTCCCTTGCAAGTACAGCTCTTAAGTGGTGTGAACCAGAGCACGCGGTT